GAGATGAGAGAAATTCGTGCATTTCTCAAAATGGGATTTTTGCTTTCAAATGCATTCTACTCTCCTATTTTGCTATCTGTAGCACTTCTTTTTAATAAAAGATAGCTTTCCCCAAGAACTTTGGATAAAAACAAAATTCAATCAAGCAAACAACATCAARAGAATTCTAATCCTTTGGATTTTATCCTTTGCCTGGCAAACCAATATACTTCCTGTTACAATAAATTATCCCATTTCTTCATATTTACCTCCTAGATATGCAGACACTACCAGAAGATAAGGATTCCCACCTCATCATTTAATCATAAAAGCTAATTTAAAAAAAATACATTTCCTATTTCCTTTACCACTTCTCCTGAAGAAATAGCTCACTTAACCACATATAATATCGAGAGTTTAATAGACATGCTGTAATTAGCATTTGATTACCTTTTTTCCTTTTTTTAAATAAATGGTAGTTTTCCCCCACATTATCTGTCTTGCTTAACAAAATAAATAAATAAATAAATACTACAGAAACAAAGGCAGGCACTATATTCTGCCTACATCAGTCACTTTAAAAGAAAARTTCTTATCATTTACACACCTCTGCTCACTTTTCAATTATATTTACATGACGATAACATAACGGCATCTGAACATTTTCAACCAAACCCTAAGATTTTCAAACTGCAGTTGAATTTGACAGAAGTACAGGTAGCTGAACAGAAATTAGAGCTACTATTCTTTAAAAGCTCTGTTTCTTTTGGGGCAGAAACATGACTGCTTTCACCATGTATAATTTATGATAGCCTCCAGCCATGTATGGACATGCAACTTCCTCTGTTTTGCTTCATTCAAAACTCAGCTTTACAAGTATCCACTGAGCGTTTTTTTTCTTTTTTTTTCAATAGACTTATTGGTCTGCAAATTCTATCTTATAGTCTCTCTAAGGAAAAGCTGATGGCATCAGAGATAAGACAGGCATTATTCACAGCTCAGAATCCAGTGACTGAAGTGGAAAAAGTAGAAGCATCAACATATAACCCAGTGTAACCAGCTACACTGCGTATTTCACCAACAAATCAAACATCCAAGTGCTTTTACAAGCATTAAAATATAGAAAGACAACCAAACTGACTGAAGTGTAGTCAGACTTTCTGCAGTTATTTAAATTCAGCTCTAAGGTATTTAGTGACAATGCCTAAGAAAACAAAGGTTTCAATAAAATAAAGATTTAGTAGTTTCCCAAGAATGTTAAGAAATGTCAGGGCATGAATTTCTTAACAGACAGCCATAAATAAATTTGCATCTAGAGCCAGTACTTTATACAAAAATTCTAGTTTTAAAGAATAATTTTTCAAGGTATCACAGTTTGAAATATCCAGCACTTCCATTTTGCACTGTGAAGACCCTCTGCAATACGAGAGTCACATTTTTGTTTCATAAATGAAAGTATTTTCATAACACACCTCCATGAGGCACATGTTTCATGCAAAGTATTTCTCCTCAGGCAAGCAGAAGTGCTGCGTGTAACTCGCACTTTACCTACGACTGGACCTAAACGTATGACTGGACCTAAACCCACACGACACTTCAGAGATTAACCCACCCAATCACAGCAACTGCCTCTCTCCAGGATTCACCTCAGCAAAATTAAGACACAGTTTACCACTGTGGTTTACCAGCTGTGCTCAGAGAATGGAGATAAGGGGGAATACCAAACTGCAACAGGACCCTGCAGCACCAGCAGCCACATGCCTAGAGTTTCTTATCAGGCCTGCAGGCTGCAGAGTGATAACGATGCCATGCTGAGCCCACTGGTAAATGCAGAGTCAGTAGAGATTCATTTAGCTACTATGGTTTTATAGGGAAGCCCAGTCCTTGTAAATAGAACTCCATTTGAATCCAACCATACAAAGAYGGAAGTTTCCTCCTTGTGGCTTCACCACCTGTTTTTTAAACTTGCTTTGTTATTTAGCCAAATGTCATAAAATCACTTTCCCAAGTAGCCACTTCCAGAGCCTTCTATTGCCAACACCTTGCACCTAGAGCAGAATCAAGTCACAAAGCTCATCTTGTTAATCCTTCCAGGGTTATGGCCCAAGCTTCAACTCACTCATTATATAGAATGAAGTGGTACAGATACCCACCTCTTCTTGCATCCTCCGAAGYCTACTTAGTCCCATTAGAGGGCCATAAAACAAAAGATAGAGCTGAGCTGTATCTCCAGGTGACTTTTTAGTTACAAACTGAACCAGAGAACAATAAAAATTATTGTTAAAGTATCTCCTTAACTACAACTCTGCTTTTTACCTACCATCTTTACTAAGTAGAAAAGATGGACAATACGGAAGCTCACAGTTATCAGGAACTTCTGGAAACAAAATGTGGTGCCCAATTCCAACACTAAGAAACTTCAAACTTCCCAAGATACCAACCCTGCTCAGGAAGCACCACTGTAACCCAGCGAGCTCTTTGTTTAGCATAGGAGTATTTTAAACACAAAACCACAACTATATGGTTGCTAACAGCTGCCACAGCCCACCTAACTCTGTGTTATCTCCTCCCTACCTTTGGTTCCAGGAGCCAGGTGAGGTAGCTCATTAATCTGTCTCGGGGTACACTCACCTGTGCACACATGTACACACACACACACACACACACGCAGGTTCCTTACACAATGCAACAGCAGCCACACACTTTTAAAATAGGTTTGTTGCAAGAGAAGGAGCCCAGTAACTAAGATTACAGCCTAGTTCTATGTCGTCCTCAGCCTTAAGGGATTATTTAAAAAAAATAACAGTTAACACAAAAGATCCTACTAGCTAAATTTGAGTTCCCACTTCTACATGTTTCTACATTTTACAGATGATACTTAAAAGAGAGGTCAGTAGGCCTGGGAGGCAGGACATGCTAGTCTGCCTGTTCTCAAAGAAGCAACAGAATCCACATCTCCCATCTCTGGGAGAGGTCCTTCTAAACAAGAAGAACATCATTACATAACAATAAAGGAGTGAAAGAGCAGCAAGGCACAAACACTACAATGATTTCCTTTTAAAATTCATCTAAGAGGAGAGACCAGGAATCCCAGTTATGGATCTCAGAATGATGGAGCATCACAGGACCCAGAGAGAGGCGACGCCCAAACTAAAACTTTCATCCTGGGCAGAGAGTTGGGAAAGTCTTGCCCTTTTGGTACTCAGCCTCACTGTAAGTTTTATGTATCTCAGGCCTTTCGCATGTCTTCTCCCCTGTACATTCCAACAGTAAACAGTTTGTCTGAGAAAGGTTAAATTAGGATGGAAAGGCAGTGCTGAAGACACAGAGCACTGTCTGAGTCAGACCATTAGTTGGAGGCTAAAGGCCTCCAACCTCCTATGTTCAATGAAAATGAAGGTACTTCTGTCAAAGGACCTGAAGCCTGTTCACACAGCAGCCCTGGCGAAAGGTCTGACTATGCTTTAAAAAAAAAAAAAAAAAAATATACACATCACCATTTTCCCCTGCTTTCCATGTCCAGCTATATTTCCATGTCAAAAACCATGTGGAAGGGTTTCTCAACTCTGCCTGAATGGCAGGTAGCTGCTAACACATCAGAAGACAACACACTGAGAAAGCACCACATGAAAACAGAAAACACGAGAGAAAATAAGAACAGGAGACGAACACTCCAAGCATAGCCCAGGATTTTTTTTTTTTTTGACTGCAAACAAGAACTGATGTGATCCCGCATCGTCTCTGGACTTATTCCCTCCTAAATGATCAGGTGACTCTTCTGTTAGAAGAAATACTGTTGAGAAAGTTTAAGAGCATCTTAGAGCAATGTTTGTTTTTACATGTACTCTTCCACAATGCCCACTGCCTTCAAAACAAACCAAAGCAGTATCTCAACAGTGGATCTGCAAACATACCAGTGCAAGTTACAGCTAAAGAAGATGTTCTTCCAAATACGAAGCTGTCTCTGATTAAATGCAAGCCACAAATGAAACAAACTGTTCCACTCAGATTCTAAAAAGAATATCCTCCTTACTATCCAGTGTTACTCACAGGTTACAGTAATCACAATAGAGTACAACACACAAGCTGAAGTCACACAGCAAGTTGAGCGGACAGCACAGTGTTTTTGCCTTGAAACAGGCAACATTAATAGCACCAAGGAAGGCACTGCTGGAATATGACTGAGTGGGTCCAGGGCTGCTTTAACTTAGCACCCATTTGCCAGGTGGTAGCAAAGACAAGACAGTGCAGGCCCTGCATGGGCAAACAGTCCAAGCAAGCATGCAAGGTGTGTGCTGGAAGTGCAGCACCAAAAGCTGCAAGGGGTGTGCATCAGCACTCTTGCAGGTCTCGCTAGGTTAAAACTCACCACAGACACTGCAGCACCCWGGAAGAGGAGGTATCTCCGAGGCCAACACTGATTTTCCCGTTCCTGCCACCTTGCTCCTGCTCAAAGCACACGCACTCTGCAACAGCATCATTCTCCCTACGAGTGCACAGCCAAAGGGCTGAAGGCTGCACACCACCACAAACACACGACAGGCAGCCTCGTGAGATCCATCCAGGCCTGGGCACAGCAAATGCACGGCTGCCCCTGACCCAAAGGGAGGGGGGACCGGGAGCCCCCCTGCGCGACGGCTCTGCTGCATCAAAGGTGCCTGCAGGCCGCCCGGCACCCCCGCAGCTGGAGCCCATCGCGGTGTCCTCTGCACGTGCTCCCCGTTTGCCTSGACGGGGATCGCCGCAGCCCGGCTCGGGCTGCTTCCCGAGGAACGCCAGGTGAAGTTCCCACCGGGCAGCCCACGCACGCGGGTCTGGTCACCCAGGGAAGTCGCCGCCGCGCGCGCCCCCGTGCCGCCGGGGCCCGGGCTGCCCGTTACCGGCGCTGCCGCGGCGGCCGCGCGGGCGCCGCCCCCGCCCCGCGGCGCCGGGGACCGTTAGGGCGGGCGCCGCCAACGGCCGCTCGGCGGCGGCGGGGCGGGGGGAGGATGGAGGGCAGAGGGAYGGGGACGCCGCCCTACCTGGCCGGTGATGCCGGTGATGAGGGCCACCCTCCTGGGACCCATGTCGCCGCCGGCCGCCGCCGGCTGAGCCATGACGCGCCGGGCGGCGGCCCAGGTGCGGCGGCGAGGCCG